TATATATATATATATATATTTATTATGTCTAGGAATATTATTATTTGTTTATGAATTAATGAATTTACATGCACATTGCATAGTCCAATACTTTTTTGTATTTGTACTGAACCATTTGATCGTTTAGTGCATATATTAATGTTGTGCTTTCTAGGCGTTGCCTCACTTAATATTCATATTAGTGGTGGCGGCAAGAGTATCAAACAAGTCTCTCAAAATTTAATACTTTAAGAATCATAATATTTATAAGTACAATATCCAATTTCCTGCACATAGTATAGTCAAATACATATGTATTTGTACTAAGTATTTTGATCGTTTAGTGCATATATAAATTTTGTGCTTTCTAGGCGTTGCCTCACTTAATTTTCATATTAGTGGTGGCGGCAAGAGTATCAAACATTCATTAATTAAAAAATTTATTTGTTACTTGAATTAACTTAATAAACGGATTATACAAATGTAATTTAAACTTATTTTAGGCCATTTGGTACAAGAAGTACCTGAATTTCCATTAGTTGTGTCTGACAAGATCCAAGAATACACTAAAACCAAGCAAGCTACAATCTTCTTACACCGTATCAAAGCATGGAAAGATATCCAAAAGGTTAAATCATAAAGTTATTTTTTAATATTTTTACATAGTTTATTAAACTGGTTTTAATTGTCTTATACTTTTAGGTTATCAAGTCTCGCCGTTTACGTGCAGGTAAAGGAAAAATGCGTAATCGTCGTCATGTTCAGCGTAGAGGTCCATTAATTGTTTACAGTAAAGATCAAGTAAGTTATCAATTACTTTAATTTCTTTTCTTTTTTTTTTTAAGTAATTCATGCACATTATATTATAAAGTGTTCTAATTTTAGTTATTATAATACTGAACTATTATAGTGCTATAAAAATTGGTCTGATCTTTCCTAGTCGGCTTTTGCTTGTATTGGGGACAAACTTTCCAAACAATTTATAATTTTCTTTAAGATACTAATAAATTCCATGGCATTATGCTGAAGAAATAGTTATAAAACAAAGTCAGTTCTCATGCACATAATAATGTCCAACATTCATGTTTATAACAGAAATGTTACCGTAAGTGTGCTAGATTAATTATTTTATTTCAAGGCGTACCCTGGAAATTTATTAATACTAATTCTTTTGGGTTCCATTGAAGTTG